TTGGACCTGGCCAGACTGCTTTTGCGTCTGCGTTTTTTAAAAAATAAAGGTGTCCTTTCCCCTTCCAATGTCCCAGAGAGAAAGGAGAGCTGCCCGCTTGCTTAGTAAAGAAACAAAAGGAGGGAAAAGCCGCACCGTGGAGTCACACGAATCCCTTTCGCCACCCACAGCCGGGGACAGGTTCCGCCTCTGTCCGAGGACAGGGGAAAGCCAATGTGAAATTTATTGCGGCGCAGAACAACCCTTTTCAAACGGCTGGAGGAAGCGGAGGCGCCAAGGAGTTCCGCCGCTGGGCTGGGGACATCCCGGCTCCCCCGCTCCCCCGCTCCCCCGCTCCCCGGGCCTGGGCCCGGGCCTGGGGCGGAGGAGGCTGCATTGTGTTCGGGAAGTGCACTTCCTTCGCCAGAGCAAACAGCCCTGGGAACCGCGGGCCCCCCTGCGGAGCGGAGGGAGCCGTGAGAGCGGCCCTCGGGTGCAGACAACTGGGTGGCCGGGCCTCCGCGTCCCCGGAGAAAGGAAAAAAGGAAACGGCAGCCCTTTTCCTCGTTTCCCATCCACCTTTTGTTGTGGACTCTTCCCCCCTGGACGCCTGCCTGCAGCTGGAGAGGCTGGTGTGTGTTTAAAGATTAGAGCGCTGTGTATTTTTAGCTTCCGTAGCGTGTGTGACATTTCGCGCAGGGCCCCTGATAAGATCAGAATGAAAGTCAGGCTTGCCGCGTTCCTCCTCGTCGGCTTTCCCGGGGCACCGCGGGCACGAGAGGCTGGGCCTCGCATCCCAGTCGAGCTGTTCAAACAGCCGCTGAGCAAACACGCCGTTCGCAGCCTCAGGCGCCCGCGCTTCCCTGCAGGTTGTTTTGTCTGTCCGCCTCGTCAACGGTGCGCTTCTCGTTGTGAAGGGAAACTGGCGTGAGTGTGATTTCATTTTCACCTTTTTATTTTGCTTCTTTTCTGTTTTCTTTTTATTTTTTAATATTTTGTTTACTTTTTGAGAGAGAAGAGGAGGAGAAAGAGGGAGAGAAACATCAATGTGTGGTTGCCTCTCATGCGCCCCCTACTGGGGACCTGGCCCACAACTCAGGCCTGTGCCCTGACTGGGAATCGAACCAGCGACCCTTTGGTTTGCAGGCCCATGCTCAATCCACTGAGCCACAGCAGCCAGGGCTATTAGTTTGCTTCTTTGCATCTAAGTATTTTCATGGTCCTTTCCAAGCACCTTCATAATCGGCACTCCGACAAGCGGGTTCTAGAATGGCAGCCACTACCGGCAGTGCACAGTGGGGAGGGCCCCGGTTCCATGCAAGGCGTCGCTCAGCCCCTGGGGCCCGAAACAGCTGCCGAGTTCTCCCCCAGCTCCGCCCCGGCCTGTGCGTCCTTGCCCAGCTCAGCCCGGTCTGATCTGGGTTCCCTGTGATGAAGTGACTTTCCTCTTTAGAAACAGTTGACCTATTCTTCAACCAAACTCACACTGCTTCAGTTTCTGGGAAGCTTTTACTGCTGTCGCCCACGGGACGTGCTCAGCAGAATGAAAAAGGCAACCACCGAAAGGGGAGAAGAGACTAGGGCTCTCGGGGGGCGGTGCCCTTCAGCGTGTCACCAGCTGGCTGGAACGCAGAGAGGCTCACGGCAGTGTGGGCGGGGGAGCCGGCGTCGCGCCCGAGAGCCCAGGCGGGAGGGAGACCGTGGGCCCAGGGAGTGCAGGCGGACGAGCGGGAAAACAGGCCGCCTGGTGCGCACTCGCCTGCCGGAGCCCCCGGGGCCTCCTCCCACACTCCTGCGCAGCAGCCACACAGCAGGGATCCGTAAATTGGGGAAGCAGCGTTAGACTTGGAGGTGTCTCCGGGTTACTGTTCTTCACCTCTGAGGTTGCAGTAAAAGGATGTATTGAAACCCCCAAAAAGAAAGAGAGAAAGGAAGAGAGAGAGAAAGAGAGAGAGAGAGAGAGAGAGAGAGAGGGGAAGAAAAGAAAAAAGAAAAGAAAAGAAAAAGAAAAGAAAAGAGGAGAGAGGAGAAAAGAGAAAGCAAAGGGGAACAGACAGATGGGACAGCCACAGTCACTAGGGTGTTCTGAGCGTTTGGCCAAAGCCAAAGCACCTCGGTGTCCCACCACAGTCCGGGGGGCAGATGGAATGAGGGCTCGTGGGGCGCAGGGTGGACCAGGCAGCTGAGGAGATGTGGCCCATCACGATCACGTGGGCTGGGCTGCCCCCCTCCTCCTGACGCCCCCGGAGATGAAAGAACAAGGGTCCGTGCACCACACCGAGGAGGGAGGAGGAGTCACAACCCTGCTCAGCGGAGTCTTTGGAACAAGAATGGATGGAGGCCGAGAGCTGACTGCCGGGGCGGAGGGCCCACCGGGAGAGACCGGTCTCTGGACGGCGCAGGAGGGGAGGCAGAGGCCCCCCAGCCCCCCAGCGTGAGGAGCCGCTGACACAGGACCGAGACGTGGGTGTGTGGCAGGGAGACCTGCAGACGCAGCCCACCACGCGCAGCCAGGGGTCGGCCCTGCAACTGTGGGCGTGAACCAACCTAGAAACTCCGACGCCAGGGCCCAGGCGCGCCGAGTGCACCAAAACAGGGGGAGTCGCACTCCACGCGCTGACCGGGACCCAGCCCCCCCGCAACCCTGCTCTGAAAGCCAGCTGCCACCTCAGGCAGAAGGCTGGGAGGCCCCCTCGTGTGGAGACCATCCTTGGCTACTTGGGGGTCCCCCGAGAAGTAGCCGGGCTTCTGTCCGGGCACCCGCAGTCTCCAGCCGTGCCTGCCGACCCGTCCACAGAGACACCTTGATGAGCGGTCAGCCGGGGGGAAAGGTCACAGGATGACCGACAGAGGCCAAGACAAAGAGGGGGGAAAGGGACTTGGAGACAAGGCATAAAATAGGAGGAAATGAAATAAAAAAAAAAAACATTTCAAAAGATGTGCATGACAGCCTCGGAGAGACAGGGAAGGTGTTGTGTCCAGGAGAGCCAGTGCTATGGATATCTAAAGCTACAGAACAGAAAAAGGGCTCTTGCACAATCGAAGCGCAGTCACAGGATTTTGTAAATTCACGAAAGCTGGTAAATGAAGTCAAGGAAATTTCCAAGAAAGAAAAAAGAGTGTTTTTAAGTTAGGCAAGAGTATCCCAGGAAAGTTAGAAAACTGATTTAGAACCTTCAGCGGTTCAGCTAATCAGAGCGCCGAGAGGGAGAGCAGAGAGGGAAGGGAGACCCGGAAGGCCCAACACCAGAACGTTCTGCAGAATGCAGGGGCGCGCAGGTGTCCGGCGGGATTGCAGGTGTGCGGACCGCGGGGAGGACTCCACCGAGGACTCGCGTGGTGAGATCCAGGGCTCCGGGAGAGACAGCACGCCAGCCTGCGGAGGAGAGCAGGTGCCCCGGGGGCCCGGGGGCGCCTGGCGCGGTTTCCACCTCGGAGCCGGTGGGCAACGGGCCAGCATTTTGAGAGGCACCCACTGACAGCCTAGATCCCATACGCAATTACGCTGACTGCTCAGGGCGGTGGACTAGAAACCCTTTCAGATTTTCAAGGTCTCTTAACGTCAGCTCATGCGCATCTTGTCTCAGAAAGCTGGTAGAGGTGGTGCTCCGCGGAAATGAAGACGTGACCTCTTAAAAAGGCGGAGGATCCGAGAAGCGAGGGCTAAACAGACTGCGGGGGGCGGGGGGCAGGAAATGATAGGAAACTGAGAAAGCAAGTCAGCCGTCCAGTTCAGAGAAAACAAACAAAAAATACCCTAGAAAGAAATGCAGGCAACAGACACATCGCATCTCTCAGCTGGGAGAGACGCCTCCGGCAGAAAACTTGGTTTGCACAATTGTGGTATCTGGGAAACCCGGTAGGTGGGACTGAACAGGGGATGGAAATCTCGCGCTGTGATTTTTTAAAAGATTGGGGAACTGGATTGAAGGGTGTGTGTGTGTGTGTGTGTGTGTGTTTATCAAAGAACTAAACCCTTGTGTGTACTAGGAAGCCAATATCTAACATGGAAACAGTCAAGAAAGAAGCTTATTATTTGCGAAAATAGAGTAAATTCTAAGAGAAAAAGGAGCTCGAAGCAGCTGGGGCTGTGGAGGGGTCGGCGGACCAGATGCTGCTGGTTAGACCCGGAGCTCTGGGGAACTACTTGGCTTTTTCTCATGTCTGTGTTTTACGTAAAATACAGAGGGTTTTTTGGTGTCATTTATACAATGATGTGTAATTACTGTTTTTTAATGACAATGTTTTTTATTTTTTTAACAAACATTTTTTAAAGATTTTATTTATTTATTTTTAGAGAGGGAAGGGAGGGAGAAAGAGAGAGAGAGAGAGAAACATCCATGTGCGGTTGCTGGGGGTCATGGCCTGAAACCCAGGCATGTGCCCTGGCTGGGAATCAAACCTGTGATGCTTTGGTTCGCAGCCTGCGCTCAATCCACTGAGCTACGCCAGCCAGGCTTGTAATTACTCTTTTTTATTTTGCATAGGTAATAATATAGTATAGAAGGAAGGAAAGAATATGACTTTTAAAGGAAAAACTAAAGACCAGAAAAACGTATGCCGAGTGTTAGTGGTTAAACTGAGTGTTAATGAAGGGGTTTCTCCCTCCCTTTTGCTTGTGTATGTAATTTTCCAAACCTTTGAAACTATGTGTATGGTTTTTGCTCTTCCCCTGCGTGGGCACCGTCATGGCAGCTCTTTGTACAGCTTCCAGAAAAAGTAGTTTTTCTTCGTGTTTCATTGGGAGCGAAGGATCCCCTTTCTCACCTCCATGCTGAGAAGTTACCACGTTGCCTACTTTGTCTGGGTCCCGGGGGGTTCTCTGAGCTTCCCTGGTCGCCTTAGGGCCACCCCAGAGTGACACAGCAAGCCTGCCCTGTCCCCTGGGGCCCCCGGACCCAGGAGGGCCCGCCCCACCGAGAGCACTGTGTCCCCCGAGCTGGTGTCGTCCCCACGCTCGGGGCCCCACGGGCACCCCTCCGCAGCAGGGCCCTGACACGGATGTCCCTTTGCGCCCACAGATGTCGCTGGGGTCGCAGACGGACCTGCAGAAGAAGAAGAGGCGGGCGCCGGCACCCCCGCCGCCCAGCCCCCTGGTGCCCCCGCGCACCGAGGGCCGGGAGGAGCACCGGAAGAGCACGACGGGTGAGTGTGCAGCCTGCCGCCTGCCGCCTGTGCCCGCCCCGGGGCGGCTGTGCCTGCACCCTGCCACTAACCTCGCGGCTGCCACTGGCCTGGCATTAACACGGAAGCACTAACGCTGACGAGGGGGCGGGTGGACACAAGCAGTCCGGCCGAGGGCATTCACACAGTCTCACGGGCGCACAGGAGGCAGGTGGGGGGGGCGGGGGGGCAGCGGACAGCGGGGGGAGCCAGGGAGGGCAGGCGTGGACAGTGTAACTGCGGGTGTGTGGCCTGCGTCTCCCAGAGAGGAGGCACCCGGTGACATGTATGCACGGCGCTTCGGAATCAGACTTTGGTTGACGGCAGTGGGGTCATTTGTGACCCCCTCGCTTGGAACTGATCTGCACTATATCGCAAAGGCCCTGATATTTCAGAAAAGGAAAAAAAAAAAAAACAATCCAGAGGAAAGAGGGAAGAATAGTAATGTCCCTGAGCAGAGACCTAAATCCCGCCCCCTTGTGGCCGGGAAGTGGAGAGAAGGGGCGGACGTCTCCACCTGCCGGCGACGGTTGATTTATCCTGACGCCGTTCGTGGCGGTTTCCCTCGCTGGTGCAGCGCAGAAGCAGCTCTTCAAGCTCGGGGTGCTGCAGACACCCCCGAGGCTGCAGGTGCATCATAGCCCCTCACGGGAGCGGGCGGGTGGCCACCCTGAGGCCCTTTCGTCCACCTGTCGCCCCATGCTTTGCCTTTGACTCAATGGCTGCAGCGCCCCCTGCAGGGCGAAGGCGCCTGGGGCACGTGGTCGCTGTGGGTGTGTGGGCTGCAGGGAGAGCTCCTCCGCTGCTGGTCAGCGTTTCTCCCTCGTCAGCCCCTCCCTGCTGATAGCTGGGCGCTTCCCGGCCCGGGAATCGATGGCCCTGAGGAGCAAGAGCCTGTCTGTGCACCCTCTTTCCGAAGGGAGACAGGCTCAGGTTTAAAGCAGACAGGCTCAGTAGCTCACTAAAATAAGCCTCGTTTCTTCCTTTCCCATGATGAGACCCCACCCTCCCTTCCAAGCCCGCCCCCCCCGCCCCGCCCCCCCGCCCCTTCCGTGAAGAGGCAGCAGCCCGCAGATTCAGCGTTCCTGGTAGAATTCTAAGAAGCGGCCCCTTTAAGTGGAGGCAGGGACATGGCTGATACAGGCCGGTCCTCGGGCCACAGGGCCCCTGTCCGCACAAGCAGGACCTCCTGACTCGAACCCGAAGGGCCAGGGCCTCGTGTCCGACGCGCTCGGAGAGCCAGGCCTGGGGCGGGGCACGAAGCGGGGTGGGCGTTTGAACATAAAAAACCCCGGACGGAGAATCCCCTCCCCCGGGAACACGCCACAAAGCAGAGGTGTGGCTGGTGCTCCCTCACCACGGACCTGTCCCTCTGGTCCAAAACTTTTGTGTGTGAGGGCGGAGGGGGCCGGGACCCCTTCCTCGGAGGTCACGGGCTAGCAGAGAAGGTCCTGGCGGACGTTTGGAGGCAGACTCCTCCCCCCACCACAAATCCCCGAGAACGAACGTAAAGCATAGTACTGTCACCACGAGGAGAACTTACACCCAAAGTCTACACTTTAGTTCGAAGGTGCAAAGGTCGAGCATCTTTTTCTACTCAGAAACGGTAGCTGGCTAGACTCGGGCCTGACCCGGATTTCACAGCAAACAGGAGTGAGCTTCCGGCGGCCCTGCCGGCCCTCCCGGGGGCCGTGCCCAGGCCGGGCGGCGCCCACCCACACCCTCTCAGCTCACGGGCTCGTGGGGGCAGGAAGTGACTCCTCCAGTGGGGAGACACGGCGAGGTCCCTGTGTCCCCTGCCTAAGGAATGGCAACCAAGAGCAGGAGTAAGTGGGTGTATCTCTCGATGGAGGAATGATGCTTTTCTTAATAGTTTCACTCATAACCTGATCAAGAGCATGAAGCAGTAGATCTGTTCGTTTCTAGAAGATTCTAAACGTTAAAGTTTGAAGAAAGCATCTTTGAGAGAAATGATAGGAAGCTTGACTTACGACACTAGTCATTCACATCACCGATGGAGTCACGGACTTTCAAAAACTGCATTAACAGAAGGAAGCCTCATTTTGGTGTAGAACTGGGAAGGGAGCCCTGGTGTGTAAACTCCCCAGCTCTTCCGGACAGAGTTTGAGTGCAGTTGCCCCCAACGGCGGAGCAGGTTGGCCGTGTAGCGAGGCTTCGAGGGCTGAGCTGAGTCAGTGGTCAGTCCGCCGTGGTGGGAGGGGCACTGACAGGCAACGAGAGGGAACTAAACAGCAGGTCTGTGGGCCTGGGACAGACCGACGTGAATAAAATGAGTTCCTTTTAACTTGACAGAGAACATTCGGGCACGTTTAAGAACAGTTTCAAGCCCAGTGTTTAAAAATAGTTGGGCCTACCAGAAATAAATTGCAACTGAGCAGGAGTTTCCGAATGGGCCAGAGGATCATACGCCGTGTGTGTAAAATGTTAAACTTTGAGTAAAGTCAGTTTGCTGCCAGGCATGTGTGGGTTTGGGGCTGGGTGAGGAGGGATTTAGTACGTGGTGTGGTTGAATCTGGTGTCAGGTGTGGATTTGAAGCCATGTGTGGTTGGATTTGGTGCAGGGTGTGGTTGGATTTGGTGCAGGGTGTGGTTGGATTTGGTGCAGGGTGTGGTTGGATTTGGTAGTGGGTGTGGATGGATTTGGTGGTGGGTGTGGTTGGATTTGGTGCAGGGTGTGGATGGATTTGGTGCAGAGTGAGGTTGGACTCGGTACAGAGTGTGGTTGGATTTGGTGCAGGGTGTGGTTGGATTTGGTGGTGGTGTGGTTGGATTTGGTGGGTGTGGATGGATTTGGTGGTGGGTGTGGTTGAACTTGGTGCAGGGTGTGGTTGGATTTGGTGGGTGTGGATGGATTTGGTGGTGGGTGTGGTTGAACTTGGTGCAGGGTGTGGTTGGATTTGGTGGTGGTGTGGTTGGACTTGGTGGTGGGTGTGGATGGATTTGGTGGTGGGTGTGGATGGATTTGGTGGTGGGTGTGGATGGATTTGGTGGTGGGTGTGGATGGATTTGGTGCAGGGTGAGGTTGGACTCGGTACAGAGTGTGGTTGGACTTGGTGCAGGGTGTGGGTGGAATTGGCGAGGGGAATGATGGCAATGTGCCTTCCGTTGGAGGGCGGGAGCCTCTGGCCTTAACCTGCTGAAGTAACCCTCATTGATCCCATCAGGTGTTGGACGGCAGGTGCCACAAAAGCCGCCCCGAGGCACTGCTCGGGGGCCCCCCCAGTTAGTGCTGCCCCCGCCCCCGCCCTACCCTCCTCCCGACACAGACGCGGCAGAGCCTCTCGGCCTCCCCGGGGAAGGCGCCGCTCCCGAGGCCTGCGAGCCGAGACCCACACGTAGGTGCCTCTCGTCGTCCTGTCTGTGTGTGTTGACCGCTCACCTCTCTGGTCCCTGGTGTCGGGGCTGGGTTTCCGGACCTTCCGTTCTCACCCCGGGGTGTCTGTGTCTGTCTTCTCCAGCTTCTCCTTCCAAATGCTCACAGCAATGTGTCCCGGCCACCAGTGAGTGCCGTGCGGGGACCCCTAAAAAGTGATCTAGCCCCCCTGATCCCTCCGACTGTGGTTAGACTGCAGCCGAGGTCGCACCAGGTGGGCGGAGACAGCCGGCCGGGAGCCAGGGTCCCTCGGGGCAGAGCTAACCCCGGCATGTCTGCAGGCAGCGGCAGCGCAGCCCAGCACGGCGGCGGGCAGGCCTGGCCGCGGGCTCGCCCGGGGAAACGGTGAATGCAAGGTGGGGCTGTGCCCGCCAGGAGCTCGGAGGGCCGGGCAGCCAGGTCCCGGCCATGTGGCCAGGGGCCAGCTCCAGGCCCGTCCTCCGCAGAAAGGGACACAGGGGCGCCAGAGGGAGGAACGGCCAGGCGTGAGCGCAGCCCTGGCCAGCATGAAAGCCTCCTCCTGTTTCCGTCTTGTCCCCGTGGGGTGAGGCCGGGCTCACGCCGTCCCCTGCGCCTCCTTTTGGACACTCGTGAGCACTGCGTGTAGCAGCCCCGCCTCCAGATGGGGCATGTTTCATATGTTTAACCAGGTCCGTGTCTTCCTCGCCTGGCATCACCTGGCCGCGTGCCGGCGCGTGTCTCCACCAGGGCGGCCTGTCCCAAAGCAGGCGCGCCCTGGGCTGCGTGTTCCCAGCGTGTCCGTCACCCTGGGCCCCACTGCGGGGAGGGGCCAGTGCCCACAGGAGCGCCAGACAGTCCATTCTTCTCCGGCCCTGGGCCGTTGCGGCGTTCTCTGTCCTCTTTGGAAACGCAGACCTGCCCGCTGCCTGCTTCTGGGTGAAGGAGGTCATGGCTGCCTTCCTTCCCCAGCAGAGCAGTCCTGGTCCGTTTCATCTTTCTTCACAAACACTTCGTTCCAGCCTTAAAATGCGTTTGATCGTCTGGACGTTGGGCGCGCTTCCGAATGTGAATGGGTTTTTCTGGGGCGTCGGAAACTCGGGGTGAGATGCAGGAGGCCGAGGCGACAGCCGGGGCTCAGACCACCCTCAGCGTCCTGGGCCTGAGGCAGTGGGTTCAGCTCACAGCCACCAGCTCTCCGTGGCCTCGCCTGGGGCTGCCGCTGTCCCCTGAGGAGTGGGTTCCTGGCACGTCACTTTCTTCTGACGCCTGAAGTCGTGGTCAAGGCTTGAGGTTCTCTCTGTCTCTTCTCTGCATCATCTTGGCGGCTGCCCTCCTCAGGCCGCGGGTGAGGGGCTGTGGCTGCATTTTCAGGGGGGGAAGAGAGGCCGTCTCGTCCAATAGCTCCGTAGGAAAAGGAAACCTCTCCCAGGAGCCCCCAGCTGGGGTGTCTGCCATGCCCCACTGACCGTAGCTGGGCACTGCACGGCCCCAGTCCCTGGGGAGGACAGAGTCGCCGTGGGTAACTCAGGCCCCGCCGACCGCCCGGAGTCGGGTCCGCTTTCCCCAGGTGTGTGGGCGGGTGTCACTGTGCTGGTTGACACTGGAGCTCGGTTCCTTGGCAATGCGGGGACTCACAGCTGCTAGGCAGCTGGCAGCGACCCCCACACCAGGCCCGCAGCCCCCAACGTGGTTGCAGCCTGGAGCGTGGAAGACGTGTGATTAGGAGTGCTCAGAGGTGTCAGTGGTGACGAGTGAGTTGGTGACTCACAGACAGGGTGGCCGTGCCTCTGAGAGTCAGAAACGGCCAAGCAACCGTTTGGGCCTCAGAGGGGAAGTTTAATGAGGGCCTGGCTTCCGCCGTGTCTAGCATTTCCTGCTTGCAGCCCCGAGGAGTTGCCGGACATGCCCCTGACGTTAGGTGGTGCCCAATTAGTGCCTGGCGACAAGCGGGTCTGGTTGCTCGATGACCCGTGCAGCTGAGAGCAGAGCGAACAGGGCTAGCAAAGTCGTGTGCCGGACCTGCAACTCTCTGGAGCCCTGTGTCTCACTGGCCGGTACTGCCTGCTACACGGGGCATAATTGTATCTCTTGCAAAGTGAGCTTGCAATAGACCAATGTAGCCGTGCAATGCCAGCTCAGGGCAGGTGGGCAACTGCGTCCACCATCACCTGGTGCAGAATGGAGGCTCCTCTCGGCTGCTCTGTGGCGCCAGCTCCTTCCTGGCGGCCACCACCACCGCCGGGCCGGCCGGGGAGCCGGAGCCGGCGCACCCTCACTGCATGCGGCACGTGTTGGGGGGGGCTGCGGCCGAGCTGTGGACCGGCTCCAGCTCGTGGACAAGCGGTCATGGCGAATGGGCCTCTGGCGATGCGTGCGGACACCACTGTGGTCGAGCAGGACAGTGGTGGGCTGCTCCGTGTCCCATGACCCTCCTCTTCTCACTAACAAGCTTCCCCGTTAACCGCAGCGGCGGTGCCCTCACCCGTGTGTCCGAACCAGCAGACCTGCATGCGGGTGGTTTTTCTCGTAACTTCCTAACGAGCCTGCTCGCTGCTCGCATGCGATGCCCGTCGGACCTTGCTGTGAAATGACGCGGACGGGGCCTGCCCCGCTCGCTCGCTGCCCTGAGTGGCTCGTTTTGGAGGTTTGCGGGGCGGGCCGTGATGGGGCTGCTCTCCTCTCCTCGATGCCTCGTCCCGGCGAGAGGACCCTGGGGACTTCAGACAGCGCACAGAGAGCTCACACGCCAGCCCCTCAGTCTGCCTTTTACGTTTCCACTGAACCGTCTCCTGAGAGCCATTGTCTGACACGTCTCCCCCCGCCAGCCTCGGGCAGCTCAGCCTCGGGCAGCTCAGCCTCTCCCTGGGTATACGGGTCCAGGGCAGCTGGCAGATGATTTTAAAGGGGAAAGGGGGCCATCGTCTCCTGTTCCAAGGGACACGTGGAGTTCAAGAGCCTCCGCGATGCTTCCAGCCGGTCGGTTTTCAGGTTGTGAACGGGCCGCTCCTTCTACGGAACTTGAAAGCAATTCCGAAACAAGGAAATGGAATCAGAGAATCAAACCATGCATTTGCAATCAGAAGACAGTAATTCGAGTTTGCGCGATGTAAAATCGATACGAGTGACAGTAATCGTTCACAGAGTGGGCAGCGAGGCTCAGCAGGAGGACCGAGACGGGGGGGGCAGCACGGGCGGAGCCCGGCGGTGTCCTGGCAGGTGGACCAGGCGTGTGGTGAGGGCTGTGCCCGGGGAGCAGCCATGAACTCACCTGAGCAGGCAGCGTGAAGCCGGAGAAGACAGGACAGGAATCTGGCCGACGCCCTCACCTTGGGGCCCACCTGCTTCCCAGTCACCCAGCGTCGTGCTCTGAAGTTTAAACCAAAATTAAACAGGTCGCCCGTTTCAAAACAAAGCAGCTAAGCCCAAATCTGTGAGACAGTGTGATTCTGAGAGTCCTGTTTGTTGGGGAAGCCCCCTTGACCTCCCGCTGGTGTGTGGACGTCAGGGGCCAGCCCAGGGACGCACGCTGGCCCTCACCTTGCACTCACTTGCCACTTTACACGCCCCGAGGGGAGCCGGCCACGCAGCTGCTCCTGCGGCCCCACAAGAGGGCGCTGCAGCCAGCGAACAGGAAGGGGATGGGATCTCGGCTCTTCAATGGGCAACATGGGAGGAAATCGGCCACTGTGGGAGCACAGTCCGCCCCTGCTGAGAGGTGCACTCGAGAAAATGGAACTAAATGCTTAGCCTGCTGGTATCGACCTTGACAACCGTTCGGTGCACCCAATCTGAGCTAAAGATCGAATTCTCCTTAGGTGCAAAGCAACGAGAATCTTAACAGAGCTGTGTGATTGCATTAGAAAAGGAATCTGATGAACTCATTTCCTTTTGTTCATCATTTTTTTTAGTCCTTTACTTACAAGCTACTGTGTCTCCAACTGGAGAGAGATTAAAGAACTCAGTTACAGCTCATTGGGGCCTGAATGTGGGGGAGGGGGGCCCAGACCTGGACACATTGTTGCAATTTCAAGAATGTTGCAAGCCAATCACTAAATGCAGCCATTATTAAAGAGTACATTGTGTCAGCTTATAATTAAATCAGTGATGCTACAAACGAAAGTAACAAATGCTGAAAACTCAGCACTTCCTCCTTACTTACTGCCTTGGACTATTTCTGCTCGATACATTACATGTATCGGGTCAGTACGGTCCGACAGTCTGTAACAGTGACAATCCTATGTAGCAGTCAGCTGCCGGGAACCTCTCCCTCACGGCCCATTCGACAGCCGAGGTCCGTGGCTGGAAGTCCACAGGAGGGGCATGCACACCACGGACATCAGCAAAGGTGGCGGGCCAGCTGGCCGCTGTCTCCGCCAGTGGAGACCTCAAGGTTCACGTCAACTCCAGATAGTTGTACCTGACAACCTAGACGCAGCGGCGAGAGCCAAGACGCCCACAACTAGCTCCTCCGGGAGACGGAACCGTGCGTGCTGGTGCACAGGGCCCTTCCCACGACGGCCGGAGACAGAGACGGGAAGGAAACGCAGGGGCCACGGCGGAGGGTCCCGCGGGTGCTCCCTCTCTGTGCGCTGCCGAGTCCCCAGGGCCTGCACGGTGCATGCCAAGGCGACGTGTGTGCTCACGGGCGCATTCTCACCCTGCCGTTTATTCCCCCACAGTTTACTGCTGCGCGTCGTTTCCTAGCCACGCCAGGCGCTTCTGACGACGGCCCTCACGGAACTCCATGCCCCTGGCCTCTGGCCCTCCGCAGCCCCGGCCCCGACACTCCTGTCCTCGACACCACGGGGCTCGCTCGCGCGGCACGGTCGACTCTCTCTAGAACTGACCGACACGCATATCGCCGGCAGAGATCGGTTTGACCAGGGTCCCTGTGTCCCCGTAGGCGGCAGAGACTGTCCTACGTAAATTCTGGTGGATGACCCTGACCCGCCTGAGATTCCACTTTCACCGATACATGGACACGCTTCTGCTACGAACCTT